GGGTCTTTTGCAATATTATGTGTACAGCTAAATGATGATTGTGATCATCTTTGCATTGTTTAGATGGTAAGAGTAAGTAGCAAGTAGTAGATGGTAAGTAGCAAAGAAAAACTTATACTATAAATAGTAAGTGTTAGAATTGCTGTCAGCCATCTTTCAACCCGTAGTGAAGTCTGATGGTGGCTGGTGAGACTTTAAGCTTGTCACTTTGAATAACCAGCCTATGTTTAGCTAGTATTCTCTAAAAATAACTATGGCTACAAAGACATGGTTACAGGATATAGCTCTAACATGAGGCCAGTCTCTTCTGTGTTGAATTCATGTGTTCATTTGTTCTCTGTAGAGGGGGACAGAGCTCTGCCTTCCATCCCCAAGTAAGTCACCAAACTCACTCTGTCTCATTAGTTGCTTCATCAAATAAAAACAAGGTGTTGTAATTTTCCCTGTGAGACATAATAGAGGTATTGGCAAGTCATTTTTTTTGCCTTTTACCAGTACAGCTTTGTTTGTTGTCTTAAGTAGTTTTTATTTAGTGATTTCACTAATTTTGTTTTGCACTTCAGAACTTGTTTTGAGGCAAATTTGAATGAGACTTTTTGCTGACACTAGCTTCAGCTCGTATTTGAAATGCCCATATAGTGAATATTATATTCTTAATAATATATAGATGTGCTTTTGTGTTCTTGATTTTATAATCTTTGGAAGTGGAAAGATACTCCATTTATCTGGTTTCCACGCTTCTCTTCATTGCTGCGACTGGAAGCTCATTCAGTATAAATTGGTTTAGGCTAATGTGAGTGAAAAATGATTCTCTCATCTCTGGTCCAGAGTTTCAAATCATGAGAGGCGGATGGAAAAACGGATGGACGGAGTACGGACCAGAGCTGTTTGTGTCTCAGGTATAAATCCCTGTCTCTCTTTCTCCTGGACTGCTAGTCTGTTTCTCCCATGCTGATCTGCCTCTCTGTCTGCTGCTCTGAATGTCATTAACAACAGTGACTGCTAAGAGTTAGATAAAGGGTTCATAGATATGTGTGCATACCCTGTTTCCCCTATAAAGCCTCATCTGTGTGTGCAGTGAAGAGTCCTTGTCTCGCCAGATGTCCCCATGGAGAGCTTTAGTCACTATCTCTGCCCTGACTGTCTACTGACCTCTGACTAATTCACACCCACACAGAATTAGACGAAAATTACCTTAAATGTAGTATCATTAAATAATGTCTGTGACCTTATTTGTTTATCTTATAACAGAAAAACTAACACTCCCTTTCTTTTCCCGCTCTGTGTGTGTTTCCTGCTGCATGTGGGTTCTGCAGGTCAGACTAGTGGCGATGGTAAACAACATTCTTTCTATTAACCGTCCTAAATTAGTAACTCAGTAGAATTCCTGCTCTGTGTCTACATTCAGAGATACTGTATGTGCATACAGTATCTCTCTCTGTATCTGCCTGTAACAGTTTCAGCCTTATCCATGACTCAACCTGTTTTTCTTCAACTTGTTTCTGTGGAAAGAACGAACCTTTCCATCCCTCCCCTTTCCTCTCCTCTGTGTCTGTCTCTCTCTATTGTACTCTTCTGTCTTACATTCCTCGTGTGCAGCTGTTTTATAGTACATGAACATTTAAGTTGTTGGGAATCGGGTATGGTGACGGTATTTTGGAAAGGTACTTCTGTCTGATGGTGTGTTTCAGTTACTGTTTTTTGTGTGTTTATGAAGGTGTGTTCAACTTCTAGAATTGCATGCAGTGATTTTATTTGTTCACTTCTTATATTAATAGTAGTTATTCTAAGTATTTTACAGAGACATGGTTATAATTATTCAAATTATATATATTATACAATTAATTTTGTATTGATAAGAGAACTTTGACTTCATGTTATCTCCAAGAAGCTAACCTCTACGTAGTTTGAAGCTTGTTATAACAAAGTGGAGTTTTAGATGTGAGCTTGTTGTGAACTCTTTCTTTTGTGTGTCACCAACTGAGACTCAATGTTTCCTGGCTCTTCTTTCTCTCCCCACTTTGCTCTGGCTCTGCAGAAACAGACGACTATGCTGAGATCATAGATGAGGAGGACACCTATACCATGCCTTCAAGTAAGTAAATGCACACATGCACACAAACTTTGTAGGCAGTTAGTGTGTGTGTGTGTGTGAGTGT